CAACGATTAATTAAATCTTGTTCACGCTTATTCCATCGAGATAAAAGTTCATGTGATGGAGCACAACCAATAATACCTTTTTTAAATCATTTAATATAAAAAGCCAACAAAAAAAAATAAAACAAAATTCTATTACCTGGATGAGTAAGTCCAGCAAATCGAACGTTTTTTATATGTCGACTTGTTGCATAAATTCCAGAAAAATCCCAAATAGCTTTATGTGCATTAGGGTAAATGTCACTTAAAAATCCTCCTCCATTATTTTTATCGAAAATTCCTGTAAAACCCCACATAGATGATGAAAGAGGACCTACATCAAGAATATCAACAACAAGAATATCACCAGGAGAAGCACCTTCAACTTCAATTGGACCTGATAAATAATGAATACGTGTTAAATCAACATTTTTAACATCATCAGCTGAATCATTATTTTGAATTTGTCCTCCAGTCCAATCAACACATTCAATACGAAAAACATCGTTTCGACGAATCGATACAACACTTGGAATATCTGGATGCCAACGATTATGAAGAGGAATCAATTGATCTGTTGGTGATCGATTAAGATCAACACTAATTAAAGGTTTAGCAGCATAAGAAATAGCTGTAGAGAGTGCTCGACGTAAAACTAACATCACTTAAAATAGATTTTTCATCTAAAAAAAAATGAATAAATGGCTTACTTTTTTCTTTCTTTCATTCTTATATTTACTCATTGATAATATTTGTATATTTATCACCTTATCATAACAAGTAACGCAATAGCATACAGTCAGTACCCTTTAATCAATATAGGCGATAAATATAGAAAAACCTTATCTATCTATTCGATTGCAGTCAATCGATTTTATGCATTTATTATGTTACTCTCAATAATTGAAGACATTCACTTTCAAAAAAAATGTTTATTTGTTTTTGCTTTTCCTTTAACGAAACGTTACTCTATCATTGAAGTTTTCACTGATGAATTAAATTTTCGTCTTTTCATATTAGATCTTTTTCCATTATGAAAACTATCGAAACAAATTTAAAGAAACCAATTTTGTTGTGTTTCACATTTCATAATAGCAAATTTTTTACTCAACGTATTCAAAATGAATATTAAAATTTCATACAAACGACATCCTATTCTAAATATGTTATGTCCATTTATTAAATAAATGGTTTGTATTATTATTATAGAAAATATAATTACAAATTATATTTTCATATTTTCAAAGAGAACTTGTCATATGTGCTATTCTATAACAATCAATTATAGAATTATAAAAAGATTATCTAATAAATTATTTAAAAATAATTTGTCATCATTAGTAAAAATATTATAGCTATCAACAAGTAGGGTTAGAAGGTTCCTTTATTGAACCTTTCTCTATGCTCTCGCACACAGAACTGATTAATAAAAAAAAAAGAAAGAGAGATCGAAAAAGACAAAAAAACACCGAAAAGAAACTATGAGAGAAAAAAACAGATGCAAATATCCAGAATGATGTTAAGGTATATGAGTAGCATGGCTGTAACAAATAGTTCGATCACGCTTGTTAATAACGATTATTTAACATAATTTGACTAAATATTTTAATGAAGTGTAAATGTGAAACAGAATAAAAACATCTCGAGACAGAAAAAATGTTTCCTCATGAATTTATACATATAGTAACTAAACTTCAATTAACGACTATGTAGATAGGTTGTTTCTATTTTCACTCAGTAGCGCTAATGAACTACTTGATTAGATTTTGAAAAGCTAATAATGAATACGAAGAATAGTCGAAGACAAAAAAAATTCATTGTTTTTGTTCATTCTGTAGAAATTTCATACTCCTCGGTAGCCATCGAATGTCGAGCACTTGAATACAGTGTCTTATCTGGTACTGTTGTTCGGTTTGTTGAACATATTGCGATATGTCAACACCCATTGAACTATCGAGTGCTATGATGGAACCAAAGTTATTACTATAATAAAGAGTATCTCAAAAGTTTCAACTTCTCCACATAAACTGACATTATTTATACAAATAGATATATAAATGCCTAATTGACATACACACTTTTGTAGAGCAAGATTAAATCTATCATCTGCAAAGAAAATAGGTCAATTGCAGATGAGATCATGAAATTTTATAGTTCTTTTATTGAGCATAACTAAGCAATCTGTATCTTACATTTTTTGAAAAAATAAGATGTGCTTGTGACATTTGAAGCAAAATAATTGTTTTCTAATACAACTTAAATCGCTCATGCATTACTAGAATATTTTCATTTGTGCCAAAAAATATAAGATGTGAAATGCTTAATCATGCTTAATAAAGGAACTATAAATTTTCATGATTTCGATGAAATTCAAGCTACCTTCTTTGCAGACAATACCTTTAATCTCGCTCTGCAAAACTAAGTATTTCAATAAACTATCTACATTTACATTTGTATCAATAATATCAGCTTACGGGGAGGAGTCGAAACTTTTGGGACATTCTTTAGTTTTAACTGCATGCTCTAATATTGATAATGTGAAACTTCTTGTAAATCTGATATTGACCTAGGATTTAACTTTGTTTAGAATCTTCTTTAGGAAATTAATTATGTTCGACATATAATTCAACTTCATCACATTATTTTTAAGCGATTTTTATCATTCATTAATTTAAGTCATGATAGAAACTCTGTCGCATTCTTGATGAAGATATTGAGTTCTATTGATTAGTGACATTATAAAATTTGTGAAAAGATTATTTCTTTTTCGCTTGTTAAAAAAATATACTTTTGAAATTTGAATAACTAAAAGCTGAAGACGAAAATATATATACAATCATCAAAATAATTCTTATCAATCTTATGAATTGAAAAAGTAATTTGCATAGAAGAAAAATAGTTCATATTTAATTTCATTACTCGATGAAAAGTACAGGTAGATATCTATGTTTAAATTTGCTTCGCCACCTATATTCGGTGAGTTTCGATAGATCTATATTGATACATCTATTGAAAATAAAAATCTTTTTTATTTTCGATTCTTTCGAAAATTGCTCATCCAATGGTTTAATATTAAGTTCTTGATCTATCAGAAAAGTAAATCCGAGAGTTTGATCTCGAATTTCGTTCTTTACGAGAAGCTGAAAATCGTATGTTAAAATGCTGATTATTTATATTTTGGTCAATTTTTTTCGTTAACAATTTGTTTTGCAGATGTGAGTATAGATGTTTTCCTCTGCACACCGACCTAATTAATTACAATAAAATGTTAGACATAGAACAGATGATATTTGATCCAGAGTCGTTTTCGTTTATGAATTCATTTGGCATTATTAGAATCGTCGAACATCATCATCGGCTAGAATGGACTAATTCGAAATACTCATTGAATAACTAATTGAGACTATTGATTTTTATAATGACGTTCAAAACTTTAAAATAAAAATAATTCGTTCTAAATATTCATTGGTGTTCGAATAGACTTTTATGTTTTCTAACAAAATAGTAATATTCTTTTGCATTAAAAACAAAAGCACTTGTTGAATGGGATTTTCTTGATAAAACTCGTAGTGTTTTATCAGTATATTAGGAAAAATCTAAAGAAACATAATTGTCATGGTACACTTCGAAATGTGTTTTGTTTTAAAAATGTGAGAAAGTTACAAAAAAAAGCGAATATTCTTTCAATATTTCAGAGGTTACATTTTTGCGGCTGAAAAAGTCGTAAATACTATTGTGGTTTAACGGCTGCTCTTAAATATTAACATAAAAAGTTTTATGACAAAATAATCAACATTGATAGTCATATATTATTGAGTTTAACAGAAGCAAGAAGAATTTTATAGCTATCGCTAGATGAATCTTCTAGAATTTACTGTCAAAAACTGAGTGAATTTCTTATTTACTTCAAAGATGAAGGACGAAGAATAACTGTCCTTCAGACGTACGGCATAATAAATTGTAACGTACTAAATCCTTCGTAAAGTAAAGATTTTCGTGGATGTCAAAGTATCTTAAGTATAAAAAATAATAATCTCTCTCATTATAGTTTATTTAAGAAGTTTTCAATATCTATGAATTTTAAATGAATTGAAACTTTTATACATGAATAGTGTCCAAAACAAGGAAGGACAAAATATTGAAAAAATCTGATCACTTACTATCACTGTCGGTAATGATTTGTATTCTTGTTTTTATAGATACATAGTATAAGATATTATATGTAAATTCATATATGATCAATCACCAATATTTAAAATCATGTTAACCGATTTGACAATTTTTTATCTTTTGAAGTTCAAGGTAACTTTTCAACAAATAACAAGAATTACAAAAGCGGAAAGAGCCTATGAATAGAACATATAAGTCTACATAGAAAATATATTTATTGACAACTTCTTGACATAGTTATTTATTTTCTTGTTGTATATAGATATTGTTTATATAATATGGAGTTTGACAAATAAATATCCTTCAAAAAAAATAAATCTACTAATGAATGTTTCACCTGATAAAATAAACGAAAAAATTTTCCTTTTAAGTTTATTATGGTTTAAAAAGTTTTTCTCTAAATTTAGTTTAAAATAAAATATTATAAAAAGTAAAGATCAAAACAAATAATTATTATGTTTGAAAACCAATGCTGAAATGTTTCACTTGACAAAGTTTATTTAGAATACATTCTGAATAATGATGATTTCAAAAAACGTCTTTTATAATTGTCGTACAATCTTTAAGTACTTGAAATATAATAGGTATAAATCAATTACACATGTTTTGTCAAAAAAGAGTCATAAAAAATGAACAATAAAAAACTCTTGGCGGCCTTGATAACCTCAGGAAAAAATTCAACTAGAGTTATAATTATTCTTTCATTCGATTTTATGAGATTTCTTCTTTTATATTTATGTGACTGTTTTTTTAAAGTCAAATATTCGATGTTTTGACTCATGTTTGATAAAGATAAAAGCTTTTTTATATAAATATCTGATACGACTTCAGATATTTCATTTGAAAAATTTGAAATGAATCTTGAATTCACTGTAACAGAAACGATAATCCGTGATTCTGGCACAATTAGTGAAATTCAATATGAATTTGAAGAATTTACATATGAAACTGTATCTGTTGGTATGACTAGTAAAAGAGAAAAACGTAGTCGAGTATATGATGCTAAAATAAAACGACAAGATTACAATATATTAACTCGTCACCATCATAATGCATTATCATTTGATGATTTTATTCTTATTTTACGTCCATTTATGTTGGGATATTATCAAAATACTCAATTAGAAATATTATTTCAAATTTTGGATAAAAATCAATCTGGTTCAATCGATATTGATAATTTAGCTGGTTTTTTACCAATTATTAATGAATATGCAACTATGGATACTTTGAAAAACTACATTAGAAAATGTGATTTTAATACTGATGGACATTTAACTTATGATGAATTTCGATCACTTATATTGAAAGGTATTGGACGCGAAATGATATGTATTCAAACCTAAATTATTTTATTACATTGAAATGAACCAAAACAACTTTCTTTTTTAGTTTTCATAGACATTTCATTCGTTTTTATTGTTTATTAGAATGAAACAATGCTTCTATGTATTTTCATATTTTATTGAAATAAGATTTATAATAAATTTGAAAAAATTCATAAATTAATATCTTGTTTAAATCATTTCTATTTTAAAATTTGAGAATATATAAAACATTTAATTTTTTTTCTTTATATTAATTACAATCAAAACGACATTCTAACTTCAAAAGTAATTAAACTATCAGAAATATAAGTCAATTACGAATAATTTAAGTTCATCATTCCCAATACTGGGAATTAGTCTATTGTCATTAGTTAGGTACAAGTTAAGAACAAGTCAGAGTAAAAAGTTTTCAGAAGTGATTATTTACAATCAATATGATTCGTTATTTGATAATTTACTTTTTCGTGAAGAATTTGAATAATTTCTGTCATTTTCTCATTTTAAATTTTAGAAGAAACCGAGTTTGAGATGTTCATTGAGAAAATAAGCATTTTAAGATTATGTCAATAAATTTTGAATAAATTTCATCAATCTTCTGCAAAAGTAGACTTAGTTCAATAGTGACAAACTATTGAATAAACGATAGATAACGAAGAGAGTTTCAATATAAACGATTCAAATTGAAACGCCAGGAAAGTTAGCAGCACATTCGAGTTTTTGTTGCTAACATTCGTTCCTAAAATTTATGCCAGCTTTCTAATTAGTTGTACAGAGTACAGAATTTGATTCTGCATCGAATGGTAATATTTCCGAGGAGGATCAATCGTCAAATACAAGTTTTTGGGTCCAACAATCCATTTACTGCTCCATCCGGCTCTTATTTCTTGTTGACGTTCCCCCTGTCAAGACTGTGCTGGCTTTCTAAGTGCTTTCGTTGGATGCAGGATTTTGTTTTCTATTGAATGGTAATATTGTCAACGAGAGTCATTCGTCATATGGAGATTTTAAGGATCCGATAGTAGCTAATTGATATTTGGATCCTAAGACCCTCATATCATGAAATTCCCTTGTTGAAAATATCACTATTCGATGGACAATGAAACTCTACGTCTAACACAACCACATAGAAGGTCAGTGCAGCCTTGACAACGAATGTTGGTAAGAAATATTAACTGAATGTGGTCGTAAATGATTATTAGACTCAGAGACTTGTATTTGATGATTGATCCGTCTCGAAATATTACCATTAGATTGAGGTGGAAATTCTCTATCAAGATTAGTAGATTTTAGAGTTAGCACAGATATAGCTGCAAAGCCGATGAAGGATTATTAGCGAAGTCACTTAGATTTTCTGATTTTTGGCTCCAAATCTCAATTTTTCTCACGTAATCCGTTTCAAAAATATCACCATTCGTTTTAGAATTCAATTCTGCATTTAGGACAACCACTTAGAAAGCTTGTACAGATATAGCAATGAATGTTAGCAAGAAAAACTCGAATCCGCTGCTAACTTTTCTCACGTGCCGCCAGCGCTACATTGAAAAAATATCATACAATTTTATATGTTGCATATAAACCTAGATTATTTGAACGTCTTTTTAGTGAAGACAAGGTCTACTTCTTGCTAAAACATTAAACAATAGAATTAACATTTTTCTTCGACTCGATAATTTGCTTTCGCTAGTTAAATCAAATAGATTTTGAATATAAAACAAAACTTGTTTTCATTCTACGAGAGACTTAACTTTGACTAAAATGAGAGAAAGTCTTCAAATATTACCTTTCTCTTAACTTTTCTCTAGCTAAAAATCTTTATTTCAATTCTAAACTACCTCTATGACATCGATTTTCTTTTCATTGTGAAAGAATGAAAATCCGTATGTTATAATGATTGAAAAACTTTGATGAAGTTATCTTCTCAATTAGATCTTTGAAAAATTCAATGTTTATCAATAAGAGCTATAGAAATTAATCAACTCGAAAATATATTGTTTTAGTTAGTTACTATTAACTCTGTATGTAGTCTTATACAAATAATTGAAAATCACCTGAAAGTTTTTTTTGATTTCTACATTAAAGCAAAAGATTTAATATCAGTCTATTGAGTCAATATCAAACGAATTGTTCATTATGATCATTCATTATTGAATTCGAAGATCTTATATCTAATTTTCTGTTTATTTATATGAAACTGTTATTTACAATAAATAAATAAAAATAAGAAAAACTGAATTAATTATTAATATGAGAATATATATATATTAATAAAAAAAAACATTGATTTAATATCGCTTTTGAAAAAAATAAATGCCCCGGGTGAGGATCGAACTCACGACCTTCAGATTATGAGACTGACGCTCTACCGACTGAGCCACCGCGGCGGCTGAACATTCTCTTAACTTTAAAAGCACAGACAATGAACATTTTTTTTTCTATCAAACAAAAGACGCATACATAACATGAAGAATACTTTGCAAATTAAATTCTCTTACATTGAAATGACAATAAGTATTGCGTGCACAGAGACATTAATCTGAAAAATTAATAATACTGTAGAAGTAGACAATATTTTTCCAGTAGCGTATATCATAGGATATTTCAAGCTGTTTTTTTTCTATGTTTGGATCATATGAAATATGCTGATTTATTTCTAAACAGGAAAATTTTGTTTTAGCATTTTCAAATGTCGAATTCAGTTCTTTTAACGTTAAAATATTGGATGAGTCATGATTGTTTTATTCATCTTGAAACATTATGTAATGATTCGATTTAAGGAAAATTAATCAAATATTGTAGTTTTTGCAAATATTTCTATCAATTTTATTCGTATAAGTTCAATTTTTATTTTGTTTTAATAATTAAATTTTCAAAATACTTTGTTTATGAAAATCAAATCTAACAGATTTGAATCTTGTCCTATATCTAAAATTATAGATTTTGAAATAAATAATAAAAGATACTATCGACAAAAACAAAACGAAAAAAAAGTACTAAGATAAATAGTTGATTGTTGATTAAGACTAGTATCATGTGTTATAGTTCAAGTTGAAGTGAGATCATCTTAGATATCCATAGAGGTAGAAATTAATTGACTAAGACATTATTATTGTCGTTGCCTAATAATTTTTTTGTTGATGATTCTATGATTTTAGCATCGTTTTATCGTATTACAAAATTAATTAGTTATGATTATTATATTCTCTTATATTAAACTTTTTAGAGATTAATAATGAATATGTATAATAAATTTTCAAATTATTAAATTAACTAACTAAACTATCAATGTTTATCAGATATTTTTTTTTATAGTAGAATAAAACATAGAATGTATTTGTTGAGATGAATTTTTACAATTAATATCGGTAAAATTCATGTTGAACACATAAAGGAATTTCTTTAGTTATTTTAGTTTTAAATGCAAAAAGGTAACTAAGTGAAAGAAAAAACAAAATTAATTTATTTCTTAATTTATTAGTTTGTTGTTTGTGAATGAATTCAACAAATATTTGGAAAAAAAGATCGAATGACAAGAGTGAAAAAAAATCCAATAGAATTCTAAATCGTCATAATTTTAAATCAAAGAAAAAAAAACTATATTTTAATTTGTTAAAAGATAATTTAATAACAAATTGGATTGAAAATGAAGATGATGAAGAAAGTCAATCATCAATTGATTTAGAGATATTTTATAAAAAATCTCAAATAAATATAAATGATCAAGATGAAGATAGTTTACAACTTGATAATGTTCAACGTTTATCAACAATGAAACATATTATTTTTCTTGATTTAGAAAATTTTTCAAGATTTTTTCAACATTTAACAAATCAGTTACCTGATCACACTTATGTTATGGCTTTTCAAGCTTCAAATATTCAATGGAGACCACCAAAAAAGTTTTAAAATTCATATTGTTTTTCGTTAATTCAATCGAAGTTATTCTTTATTTTCTTTTTTTCTTTTAGTGATATTGTTTATGATAATTTATTAAATTTAAATAATTTTCAATTAATGCGTCCAAGTGGAAATCGACATGATGCTGCTGATTTTGCTCTTGTTCTTACTGTAATTTTTTCTAGAAGAAATTTTTTTCGTATGTCTTATATTTAGTTATTAGTTTGGTAAACTTCATGGTCTTCTTCCTAAATCAATTCCATTTACAATAATTAGTGGTGATAAAGGTTTTATTGAAGTAATTCATCAATTAAAAAATTCTCATCGAAGAATAAACTGGTTTAATCCTCATCAATTTTCATATGAAAATTTTAATCAAATTTTAAATATTTCATCAACATCTTCTTTAAATCTTTAAAGTTTTTTGTTTATTTAAATTAGATTTTACTATTTTAATTTATATAAAAACTTTTACTCATAAATTATTGTAAAAATTTCAATCGATTTTAATAAAGATCAATTCAAGAAAGCATCTAATAAATAAAATATTGTTAGTATTTTAAAAATTGAGGACACCTTTAATTTTCTAAAATCTTGATAAATCGCAAATGCTTCTCTCATTGTATTAGTACAGATCTACAAAATTGTCGTTATTTAGTCTCAATAGAAAAACTTCTCAGTGCAGCCCATTTCGGGCTAAAATCTATAACTCACGTGTGTTCTTTAACCACATTCTATTAATACAAAATACGTTCAGTGAAAAGATTCGAGCAGACTAAAATTATTTTCGAAGGATAATCGATTGTCACAAAAATCATCTGTCTTGCTGATTTTTGCAGTTTTTTTTATTGACGAACATTTTTTGGCCAATGTTGGCATAAAGCTGCATGCACGGCAATGGTGTGAATATATATAGTGCTTCTAAGAATATCTCAGAGTTATAATTGTGTTAGCTTGAAACGCTTGGTCTGAGCAATTTTCACCACTTTTATTGCCAGGTGGAAAATATTTAATAGATATGTCATTTTTCATTTTCGTTTGCTTATTCCTACCTGTGAAATCAATTGGACTTAATCAGTTTGTTTTACTGATTTAGTCTAAAATAAGTTAAAATTGATTCAATGGAATTAATTTCACGGATCGGGATAAGTAAATCAAGCTATGGAAGTCAAATTCACCTTGCAGAAATATTGAATTTCTCAAACAGTAAGGCTTATTTGTACGCTTTGGAACAAACTACTGCACCCAAAGACTAAGCATACGCTACATATTTTACTAGTATCACCTAGTGTGTATGGTGAAAATATGAGGCCTAACTAATCATGTACAATGAAGAAATCGAAAGAATTCTATGTTCCCTTATTTTTGGGTGATCGTGCGTATGTAAATACCCATAGATAATAAACATTATGCTATTGTCTTCCAATAGTATTCTTATTGATGAAAATAGTTTTTTCTCTGTAATAAAGTATTTTTAAGTAATTGATTCATTTTTCTTTTATTACTGTATGCATAGATAAATATATATATAGGTGCGAATAGGTGACAGACATTTTTAACCCTAACTTTCATTGACTTAACTCTGTTAGGCATCCACCGCTTGAAACAATCGCAGTTATGATGAATGCTCAGAATGAACGACAAGGTGGAATTTCAATTTGATAGCTAGATGGAATAATAATAATAATTGTGAAATGGTATCTAATGAAGCATTTTTGAATAGTAGTTAACAAGAATGCTTTGTGAGAAACAGTCACTAGTGTCAACTGTGGAAGTTGTCTTTAATTATGGATGACCTTTACAGATATTCAACTATTCAACTATCTATTTTCGTGTTACCTACATCGAGAGAGCTAGTGTGTTTTCGTACCACTCAATTATTGAATATTTGAATTCATCTGTCAGGTTTAACATGTATGAAGACATTTTATACCGCAGTAGAAATATCATAGACAATATCTACCCGTAAATAGATTCTAGTTCTCTCGCATAGCAATTCAAGAATTTGCTACTATTTCAATTCATACTATTTTGTGGTTTGATACTTATATCATACAAGTGATTGCCTTTTATAAGTGTTGGCATAGCCATTCGTGAATGATTATTCAATTAAAATATGATCTGACGTATTGTTTAGTAATAATAATAAATTATTCAATGAATGATACTCTTTGTTATTGATTTACTTTTCGTGAGCACCTCTAAATCACTTATAATCATATAACGACGAGTAACTTGCGCATGGTCTAGTCACTGTGCTGATAATCCGTACACAAAATACAATAACTGCGATGGATGGCTAATTTCCGTGAATAGAGAGTGCAGTAGTGAGTCGTCTTCAGTTGATTCTACTGGAAACTGTTCACTCGCCGGTGATTTGAAAGGCAGAAAAATAATCCTTTGACATAGCTTTTCCGCTCATCATGTATTAATTTTCTTGCTAGTACTGCCTGCAATACAGAAAACATGTCCACGTACTGTAAGTCAGGGGTATGTTATAATCAATATCAATGCTCACCCACTTCAACTGAGTCAGTTATACTCACATTGAATAGCTTTCAAGAAGACGATGATGGTAGGCATGGAGATGCATGTGATGAATCCTTTTATTCTAATTCGCAGCGTGTCGTGGCCTTGTCAAAATGGTGGTACGATCGAGGACATAACGATGCAGGAAAACGGTTACCATTCGTGATAATAGTAAGACAATAACAGAGCTGGTTGTTGACGAATGCGACACAGTAAATGAATGTGATACAGAACATATAAGACAATCTTAATATCGTAACAATAATATTGACACATTACCAGCTGTCTCAGCATATCCGAGAACGATTCACTATATGGATTGATGAACATTTCATCGAACAATTAATTGCTATTGATTAAAGTAAAGCGAGCTGCAAAGATGATTAAAATAGATTCAAAAGCCGTTTATGTCTTACTTTTGAATAAAATATTTTAGATGTATCTGTGAAAATTTTTGATTAATCAATTCTTAAGAAAATAATTTAAATCGAATACAATAAACTTTAGTTTGAGTTGCAAATCAGAAATTTATATCATATATCAATGACTTAAAAGCTTAGGCTTTTTTTAGAGTTGACAACTTTAATTTATATCGGTTTCAATTTAAAATATGTAATAAATAAATTTCATCTCTTTAGTTACTCAATTTCCAATTTTTTTCTTTCTTTCTCTCTCTCTCATATCGTCTTTGTTCTTTCATATTTGATGAAAAGATTTTAAGAAAATCGGATTTAATTCAAGTTGAGATTCTTGAATAACAGCCTCATATCAAAAATAGTTAATATAGATTTAATTTCATATTATGCAAATTAACAAATAATTGTTGAGATATATCCTTTGAGAAAAATATGAAGTTTTGATAAGCTCATCAACGACCATTGTTTGACAAATCATATAGATTACACAGAGGCAGCGCGAGCGGGGGAGGGTTGGGAGAGAGTACCCCCCTGGTTTTGGAAATTTTCGCTTTTTTTGCTCAACGATTACCTCAAAATTTGATTTTTTTCACATTTTCTCCCGTTTTTCGAAAGTACCCCCCTGCTTTGACCTCTTCGCGCCGCCCCTGAGATTACTATAATAATTATAATATTGAGCCATGAAAATCATCCTGTCTCTTTAGGTATCGATCGTCTACGATTTTCATCCTTTTATTCGAGTTACTAAAAAAGTTGGAGAAGAGTCGCCGCTTAATAATGTTTCTTTTTGTGAGATGAACTGCTGTTACTTTTTAATTGTGTCGCAAGTAAAGATGTACAGAATCAATTTCTTTTGTCCTGATACCAGAACTATAATTTGGCTCCGCATATCTCTAATTACAAATCTTTGTTAAAAAGAGTAACGTGTAAGAGAAATATAACTCTAGTAAATTCTTCAATGTCATATTGAACAACATTGCTTAAATGTGTATCCATTTTAACACATTCAAATAGATCTCGTATGTGCATATTAGCAGTTGATGGTGTTTAAATAGATCGTTCAAACTCTGTAAATATACTATTTCTTCTCTTGAAGATTGTTTAATAAATAATTTCATCAAAAAAAGTTGAAAATATTGAAATTCGATACTGCAAAAATAAAATAAATCATTTGTATGTTTTATTCGTTGTATTTTCTTAGATTTATTCTTTCAAATAAAACGGACTTATTTGATGTTGCCATTACGAAAGAAGTTTCGACATTTTGTTAGAAGTTTTTCCTATTGCAGGTTGTTAAAATGTTCGATTTAGTTTTCAAGAGGATTTTTCATAGTCAATTGTTGAGATTTCACAAAATTTTAAATTTGAATAATAAAGCTTATCGCTTCATTATTTATAGAATATTATTCTTTAACAAAATGAAGGTCATTATCTTTTTTTTTAGCACAAAGCTGGATTTAGCAGTAAAGAAAAAGAAAATTTCTAAGAATATAAATAGAATATAGAAGCAGAAAAATGTTTGGAGCACTTTCCGTTTCATGCTAAGTCGAATGATGAAAAAAGTGAAAACAATTATAATCATTGACCTTTTTTGATAATTATTTATTATCAAGAAAATTAAGTTTTTAATTGCCAAGAAATATCATAAAACATATTTAAATGAATTGATTTATGTATACACTAATTTGTATATTGTGCTTTCAATGATGACGTTTTGTTTTTTATTGACAATCGATTCTCTCGTCAATCGTTGATAAGAGTTCTGATTACATTTGATTGCTCTATTCCAATCTATAATTAGATTCTGTTGAGTCTATAAAAAAAAAACAAGAATTTCATAAATGGTGAAAATTAATGAGTTCAAAGAGAAAATTCGATTATATTTTATTTAATAATTAAGTAGATGAAATAATGACGTAACTGGTATTTTTGTGTTAAACTTTAATATATTGATTGAAATAAATGTATTTATCCATGAAAAAACAACATATTATCAATGTTGAAAATGAGAATTTTTCGTCACTGACTTATTAAAATATTAATTAACATTAAATGCTTCATCTTATGCTATTATTTCATTTATTTAACAATTAAATAGAATATTACGGAATTATTCATCGAATTTTATCTTTAGATTGATTAATCTAGATCAATTATGAAATTTTTTTCAAAATAGATTCAATGAAATCTAATTATAGATTTGAATAGAGCAATAAAATTACAACAGAATTCTTATCGGCGATTGACAAGACAATTGATTGTTAATAGTAATAAAAAAAAAAAAAATAATATAAAGTTGAAAGTACGATTTGTGAATTGATATATCAATAAATTGATTAAAAAAAAATTAAATAATTGTAAATGAATGAAAATATAGAGGAATATATTTTATTTTGAAATGTAAAAAGAGAAAATATCTTTTGACGTTAATTATTTGATAAAAATTTGATTTTGATGATTGATAATTATTTTA